CTGTCCATTCTGATGATAGGCAGGTGAGACATAGTGGATGGTAATAAAGATTGCCTTAAAAGTATTTTAATATAAATAAGTCCTGATATAAAATAAAGGTAAAACAGAATACTATTTTCCATCTAGTGACTTTACATGACATTTATGACTTCTTAACAATAATCCTGTTTTAATCTTTTTAGATCAAATTATACTTTTATTCAGCTTAAGAAAGAGTGAAAGTATTTTCCCCTTTCAATTTCTTCAAATTTCTGAGGACATTTTCCCTTTGAGGACATTTAAAGACTTACTGTTTGTAATTTTAATAACAGGGTTTTACACTAAAATTAAAAAATAACTAAATAAACTCTGAAAAACTATTTTTTTTGTTTTGTCTCCAGTTCTCAGGTGGTTTAGAGAAAACTTAGTGTAATTTGATTGAGACCAACACGGGAAGAGAATGTTACTAAAATCCTATCCTCCCAGGAAAGAAGCACCCCATTATTATATGTGAAGAAAAAGTTGATTTGAGTGTTGAGCTAGAGATTCCGGTTATTTAAATGTTATTTTAGAAGACAAGATACTGATAAATTGACAACTTCTTATATTTAAATATAGTGTGTGTGTGTATATGTGTATATGTGTGTGTGTTTAATGTAATCTGTATGTAAAGAGAGCCTAATTGAGTAATTTTAAAACCAAGTATTAGCAATGGAGGGAAAATTAGTTCTAAGCCAGAATTAAAGTATGTTTTTCATTAAATTATATTGATATAAATAAACTACTTTGCATTCAAGTCACTGATGTAACTGTGAAAGTCTCATAATCTTATCTAATTGTAGCAATCAAAAAGTGAAGTTCTAAGAGAAAAATGAATATATCTCTCGTAGAATACATCAAATGCTACATAATCTTGAGTTAAAAGCATTCTGATTTCCAACCATGTATTTAAAATAAAAAACAAGACCTAGAAAGATTTAGGGTTGGAATAAAAGAATGGTTAACTGTCAGAAGATATATCAATGTAATTAATTGCATTAACAGATTAAGGGAACAAAATCATGCTATCATTTCATAAGATGAAAAAAAGTTCAATAAATAGACACTCAATCGTGATTAAAAATAAGGTCTTAGAAAACAGGAAATTTGCCTTAATCTTACACAGTATATTTATCAAAAACATACAGTAAACACCATAATACATAGTGAAATTTTAGAAGCAGTCCTATCAAAGTCAAGGACAAGAGAATTATGACAGTTAAGTCCAGTACTGTATGTCCTTGAAAAACAACAAGACAAAGAAAAAGTTATAAGGATTAGCATAAAAGAAGCAAAATTTTTGCTTTCAGGCAATATGGTTGAATGTAGAGAAAACTCAAAAGAAGTTCATGAATTAACTTTTATTAATAAGAGTTCAGCAATGTTCTTGGATGCAAACTGACATTCAATAATTAATAGCTTTCCAGTACACTAGCGGAAACCAATTAGAAAATATAATAGTAGCAACAGTCAAAAGGGAAGTAGCAAAAGATGAGCATGACTTTTATAGAGAAAATTGCGACCATTGTTGAAGGAAAGAAAAGAAGACCTGATTAAATGTCAAGATGTATTAAGTTCATTGATGAAGTGACTCAATATTGTAACAACGTTAATTCTCTACTGATTAATCCAGAAATTTAATGCAATTCACATAAAAATTCCGTAGGATTTTATGTGCACCCAAACTGAGTCTAAAACTCACATGGAAGAATAAAATTCCAAGAATTGACAGAACAATTTTGTAGAAAATCAAAAGAGAAAACTTGCCAGGTATCAAGATTTATAAAAGTATAGTATAGAAAACAGCATGTTATTTACTGAGGAAAGGCTAGAAAAATAGTAAACAGAAGAGAAAGCCCAGAAATAAACCCACACATATGCAGAAACTTGGCCTATGACCAAACTGATTATTGACTATATCATATAGGAGAAAAAAAAAATAGGTACCAACCTATAACATAACAAAAGTAAATTACCAGAGCATTTAAAAACCTAAACGTGAGAAACAAAACTAAAGCTTTTAGAAGACATCAGGATAAGAAAGAATTTGTTAAATAAGACACAAAGATCACAACCATAACAGGAAATATTAATATATTTATCTACATTCAAATTTTAATAAAAACAAATCACATTATGGGGTACATTAAAAGACAAGCCACAGTATGGAAGAAGATACTACAGTGCACATATCTGATAAAGGATCAGTGCCTAGAATCCGTAAACAGATCCTTTAAATCATAAAAAAAAAAAAAAAGATTAAATGGCCTATAAATATACAAAGAGATGTTCAGCCTCACTAGTAATCAGCAAAATGCATGTTAAAACAATGAGACACTATTTTCTGACCATGGGATAGATTGGCAACATTTAAAAAGCCTTGCAATGCCAATGTGATGGTTAATGTTATGTGACAACTTGGCTAGGGTATGATTTTCAGTGGTTTAGCAGACACTATGTAATCACTTTCCATTTTGTAATCTGATATGAGCAGCCAATCAGTTGAAAGGGGAGTTTCCTTAGGGTTGGGTCCTGTCTCAAGTATATAAATAGATGTTCTGGCAAAGCTTTCTCTTCCCCTCCTCTTTCTCCCTTCCTTACTCTGCTTCCATCTCTCCCTCTCTCTCTCTCCTCCTCCCCCTCCCTCCTTCTCTCTCCCAGTTGATCCTGCATGCTTCTCCTCATCTGACCTCCAGTTCCTGGGACATGAGTCAGCAGACGACTTCAGCCTGCTGCCTGGCCTGCAGATTTTGGGTTCATCAGCCCTTGCAACCACGTAAGCCAGCAGAAGCCATCATCCTGCCACCTGACCCATGGATTTGGGACTTGTCAGCCCCCGTAATTGTATGAGCCATTTCCTTGAAGTAAATCTCTCTCTCTCTATATATATATATAAAACCAAACACACCAAACCCGTTGCCATTGAGTCGATTCTACCTAATAGCAACCCTATAGGACAGAGTAGAACTTCCCCATAGGGTTTCCAAGAAACAGCTGGTGTACCTGAACTGCCAATGTGTGTATATGTATATGTATATATATATATATAAAAATTTGTTGTTGTCGTTAGATGCCATTTAGTTAGTTTCAGCTCATAGCGAACCTGTGCACAACAGAACGAAACACTGCCCAGAGCCCATTGTTGCAGCCACTGTGTCAATCCATCTTACTGAGTGTCTTCCTTCTTTATCTGACCCTCTACTCTACCAAGCATGATGTCCTTCTCCAGGGACTGGTCCCTCCTGATAACATGTCCAAAGTACATGAGACGAAGTCTCACCATCCTCGCTTCTAAGGAGCATTTTGGCTGTACTTCTTCCAAGACAGATCTTGGGATTCATCAGCCACCACAGCCTGTGAGCCAGCAGCCCACCATCTGACCTGCCAATCTTGGGATTCATCAGCCTCTGCAGCCTGTTAGCCAGCAGCCTGCTGTCTTACCAGCCGATCTTGAATTTGTCAGCCTTTGCAGTCCGTGAGCCAGTGGCCTGCCATCTGACCTGCCAATCTTGGGTTCATCAGCACCTGCAGCTACA